GCTTTGGTGTCCTCTATGGAGCGTAGTTCATCAAGGAGGGAATTAAGTGCTTGTGAGATCTCTGGCTTGAGTGAGGCAAGGGTCTTGTTACGCAACTCAGAACCATACTTCTGCTTTACCAGTAATGGTAGGCCAGGGTGGATCAGCTGCAGCCACAGAACTACTATAGTGTTCTCGAGCGATGGGGAAAGATCTTCATCTGCGGTCACCTGCTCACCGTGGTGGGTTAAGCCACCATTAACTGCAAGGAGGTTGTCTTCGAAGAAGGCCATGAGGCGTTGGAATAAGTCCTCTGGTCGCTCAGCAGTTTGAAGGCTGATGCTTGCAAGGTCGAGGAAATGGGCTCCGGAGGACTGGAACCCAAAATGCTGGCGAATTTTCTGCCAAATGTCATTCAGAGAGGTAGAGTGCTTTACTATGGAGTTCCTGGAGATCACGGGGCAAAAATTGGCAATCTGTCCGAGCAGAAGATCCAGGTGGGCATTTTTCTGAGCGGCAGTAAGTCGTTGTGCCTCAGGTATAGACGTGCCATCATTCGTAAGGCCTCTTCGAGGGTTGGCGGCGGTTTGTTTTTGCCATGTGGCCTCTAAAAATGGGACAAAGTTCTTGTCTAGGGATAAGATGTAGACTAAGTTTTGCCTCCAACTTTCGTACGAGGTGATGGTCTCGTTTTTCGTAAGCTGCCATTGTTTAGGCGCCCTGGGAGCGGCGGCCATGTTGGTTTTCCTACACGAGCGGTTACGGCGAATTCACGTTGATTTGTTGGTCTTCGCACTTCGTGAAAATAAGGGTCACAGGTTCCAGACGACCACACTTGTGTTAGGGTCCACCGTACGTGGGTAAAAGCCGCTGCCACCACGCCAATAAGGAACAAACTGTGTCTTAACGAGGGTTTACTGAAGACCGAACGAGAACCGCATGGAATTACAAAGATGATCGACGGGCGCATGCGCGCGCTAGATACCGCTGAAAGTAACGCAATAACAACGTAGTGGCGCTGTTGTTTTCCTATCTGTCATGCAGTAGGAAAGGAATGCCTTTGTTATATGTGTTAAAACAGTGCTACTTTATTTGCACTAGGATTTAATAAAACAGGAAACTTTAATTCTGAAAGTTGCAAAGTAGCACTATAATGTTATTCAATGAAAAAGAAAGATGCCAATGTTAGCACACATGGCATCATAATTTAGCAGAATGAAAAACCCAACTGTTGAAATTTTAATAGCAATACAGATTTAAAGTATGGTAAATAAAAGATGTAAAAGCGCTTATCAACAAGCTGCTGAAAATGCATCTAATGTTACTATGATCATTTTTCAGATAGATTCAAAGAATTATTCCATGTGAAAAATGGTTTTACTGCGTCATTACTTTTTTTTTTCTTTGGAAAATGCCAAAAATTTGGGTCGGTCGGACGACGCTAAACGGAGAAAAAAAGAAGATGGCCTAAACTGCAAAAAGAAGTCGCGATGTTTGTTGTTTTTGGTTCTTGAAAATGTGCAGGTCTCACCTTCTCTTTCTTCGGTGAGAGAGCAGATGAGAACCCTGGGAACGAAGTTGTGTCACTTGTAAACTGATTTTTACTTGTCGATTTACTTGCATTCCAGCATGCATTACCAAGCCTTCAACACATACACTTACTTATTTCAGGTATGGTTGGCTGGCAGATGGTACTCTTCGCTATCCAATGCACTCAAGGGTATCTGGTTGCGGTAACATGATAGGCGTAGTTGGAAGTTCTTCGCCCAGCAGTAAATCCACAAAGAAGGACGCTTGGTGCTATAAACAAGCCTAACTTCTGGTATGACGTTTTCAAGTTAAGAGCAGTTGACTTAACAAGAAGCTGTTCTCACTAAATTAAAAGTACAATACGACACTTGGATGTACAAGCATTTTCCCGGAAATTTTACAAAGGAGCTGTTTTATGCCAGAACCCTTTCTCTTGAATAGTTGTATATTTATTAATCAGGGGCATTTTTGAAAACGTTCGCGACAGGACTTTGCTATGGTTACGAGATATGACGTCATAATTGACATTAAATGAAGAGTTTTAGGCATTCTCATTTCCAGGCCTTTTCAACTTTTCAACTTCAACTTTATTTAAATTTGAAAATATAGCAAAAGATACATTGGATTGGCCTGCAGTTAGCGAGGCTATTCGAGGCAGGCCAGGCTTCATAATTTACAACAAACTAGACAAATACAAAGAAATTAGGCGTTATATAAGTATATACATTTTACATTAAATAGATACGTTCTACTTAAATGCAAGGACAATAATTAAAGTGAAATTTTAAAAATAAAATAAAATGAAAATAAAGGACAAGAGAATTACTTTTTTATTTTCACGATGATTGTATCCACATCAATATAGGAGTCTTCAGTTTCAAGGAAATCGAGTAGCATTTCTTTAGGTGATCGCTACTTCGTCCTTGAGTTCTTTGTTTGCTTTTCTCAATTTTTGTTCACTATTTGTCATGATATTACAGAGAGTTACCGCTCGCAACTTCATGAGATATAACAATTCAGCTCAACAATGGGAAGCTATCAGTGGAATTNTATGGTTACGAGATATGACGTCATAATTGACATTAAATGAAGAGTTTTAGGCATTCTCATTTCCAGGCCTTTTCAACTTTTCAACTTCAACTTTATTTAAATTTGAAAATATAGCAAAAGATACATTGGATTGGCCTGCAGTTAGCGAGGCTATTCGAGGCAGGCCAGGCTTCATAATTTACAACAAACTAGACAAATACAAAGAAATTAGGCGTTATATAAGTATATACATTTTGCATTAAATAGATACGTTCTACTTAAATGCAAGGACAATAATTAAAGTGAAATTTTAAAAATAAAATAAAATGAAAATAAAGGACAAGAGAATTACTTTTTTATTTTCACGATGATTGTATCCACATCAATATAGGAGTCTTCAGTTTCAAGGAAATCGAGTAGCATTTCTTTAGGTGATCGCTACTTCGTCCTTGAGTTCTTTGTTTGCTTTTCTCAATTTTTGTTCACTATTTGTCATGATATTAGAGAGAGTTACCGCTCGCAACTTCATGGGATATAACAATTCAGCTCAACAATGGGAAGCTATCAGTGGAATTGATGCTCCCAACGAAATGTGGTTTAAATACAAAAAGTCATCATGTCAATGGCGAGTGGTAAGGCCCCTGGAACTGATAAAATTCCAAGTGTGATCAAAGATTGCTTACCTGCTATCTTATCTCCGTCAACATCTATCATAAACGCTACGTTTGAGTCGGACATTTTCCCTATCTCTTGGAAAATTGCTGAAGTAATACCCATACTTAGAACTGGGGATCATGAAATCCGAAACAACAACAGACCGATTTCAGTGCTCCAAGTTCTGTCAAAAGTTTGTGAGCGTTTAGCTCACGATCAGCTTATGTCATATTTGCTCCCGAGAGATCGTTTAACATTTAGATAAAGCGGCAATAAACAGTAGCATTCAACGGCAACAGCATGCAGTTATTCACGGGAGGGAACTCCCATTTAAAAGTGACGGGGATGCTCGTCGCCTCGGTTTGGGGGTGTAAATTGCAGATTTTGGTCAAACTTAGGATGTTTGGGATGGAAAGCCACTATATGTGCCCATTAAGGTATCGCTTAAAGAAATTTACAACAAATGCCCTGACATTGACCACACAGAAATCTCTCGTTGTGGTTAGTTTAAGCTTCAGCTACACCTACATTGGTCTCCTTAAATGGGAGTTCCCCGGGGCAGTTATTCAGACAACCAATAAAATCCTGAGTGCCATTGATAAAAGGAAGCTAACCCCTATCGTCCTTCTCGACATGAGCAAAGCTTTTGGCAGTACTAACCATCGAATACTCTTGGCGGAGAAATTACAGGATATCGGAACTTCCTATCAGTAATTGAATGTTTCCGGAGCTACTTGAATAAACACAAACTTGTCGGACAAGCTACCTGTCACTTCTGACGTGCCACAGGGGAGCATCCTGGGTCCATTACTCTTTAGCATCTATATTAATGACCTCCCTCCGATTCCCGAAAATTGTTCCCCACAATGTTATGTTGATAACACCAAACTTCTCGCGTCCTTTCAACTCCAGGATAAAGAAGAGGCGTTGACCAGGACTAATTGGTCTTATTAGTCATATTTGGCAGCAGGCAAATGACTGCCAATGGTAAATTACTTTCGCCTCTCTCTTTTGAGGAAGGAACTGGAACCCGTTAAAGCTGTAAGAGACCTTGGTGTGATACTGGACACTAAATAAATGTACAATTCATAGAGCATATTGGCTCTACTGTGTCTTCATGTACTGTGGCACGATGGTTCATAGATGGTCAAATTATTGATGTTGTACAAGAATACACTTAAGGAACTCGAATCTCCTGATCGGGAAATTTCTCAGTGTCACGTGAACATCTTAAAGAAAAAGCTCTTCACGCCCTATTTAGCTTTCTTTCCTCAAATTCCCTCAGGTCCTGTTTAAACGGATCCGCTATGTTACTCCATCACCACTCCGCACATCTATTGCTGGATCCTTTTGAACTACCAAAAGTTTTATCTCATCCAACATTTCGGGGTCGACGTGAAGAGAAATGGGGATCATTTCGGGGTCGGCATCATTTTGGGGTCGATTTGGGGATCATTTCAGGGTTGGGGATCATTTCGGAGTCGGGATCATTTCGGGGGCTGTACAGTGCACACGTTCTAAAACAAAACAGTCGATTAAAGTAACTACACAAGGCACTCACAGTCACGTGTCAGTTTTTGCTCTTTACTTTTTTTATTTTTGGCCAGGTAATCACTCTTAAATAAGAATTCCTATAAATGATATACTCCTGAATCAAGACTGATAACAAGGCAACTCAACTGTATAGACCCTTCTTGGATTCACAAGTACAAGAAAATAGCTCAATAACACAGTCAACCATCTAGCTACAAAGCTCTTATAGGACACCTCCATACCATCCAACCAACCTAGATTGCCTTCCTTCAGTCACTTTTTTGACTCTTTATAAGATGGACACCTCCCTACACCTCTGGGAAACAATGAGTGGTTCGGTAGGTCAGTTCTGACTTTTGTATCCACCCCGAGAGCCGGTCTCAACACAGTACGTTTAATTTAAAGTGACGTAACTGTAAGGCCCGGTTCAGACGCCGAGTGGACCTTTTCATGAGCCGAACTTTATTCGAATTAAGGTCTACCCAAATTATTTACACCGGCTGAATTGATTCACACGCCGAACTAAATTCAAAGGGAGAAAAATATTCATTTCGGTTATTAAAACTGCTTACAGAGTACGTTATAATAATTTACGCCGTTGGTTCGGTACATGAAACGTTCGGCGTCTGAATCAAAGCCCTTCCAAAGTTGAAACAGAGGTGACTGTACTTACTAACATTTCTTGAATAGTCAAACAATCGCAAGAGACTCAATTATTTTTAAAATGGCATGAAAGCCTCACTATGCAAGGTTTCTTTATCCAAGATATCCAATAGAAACAGAAAGTGAAAAATTTCTTGATTGCAGTTACTTCTTTGTACACATAGAATCATTAACTTTACATCTTCTTCTGAAAGGAAAGTGGCTTAATACAAGCTTGTCTTTTTCATGATACGAAGGAATTCGGCTTCATTGATTTCGCCGTCGCCATCTCTATCTGCCTCATCGATCATTTCCTAAAAGGCAAAAGGACTGTAATAAGGTATAATAAAATATAAGATCATAAGTTTTATTTTTATGTTATGTTTATCACCCACCGAGGCCACAGGTAACCCAGGCGCGGCGTATGTATCACAGTACAGTACTGAAAATTACAGTGTTTGTAAGAGATGAAGTTCCGATCAGAGCGTTTTTACGAAATACCGAATAAATGTCCACGAAACTTACCCAGCAGTTAGTTGCCAGCTACAGTTTCTCCCTCCAGAAAATGAAACACACAAGGTACGTCAATTTCAGCTGGCATGCTTCGCTCCATACTACGAAATTTTCTCTATTTTTTCACTCCAAACAAAGGTAAATAAAAACGCCAAGCACGTAGAAACAGGACTGTACAAATATTAAAACCCATAAAGCTTCCCCAGCTAGAAAAACGAATCTAGCAGACTCCAGACCTCTTTTTTTTCATATTAACAGATTACACTGCAGCTAAACTCAGGAAAAAGGTATAGATACTCGCTGAGAACCTCAAGATCAAAGTGACTCCTCCGTTGATTCGGGGTTTTCGGTCGTTAGTTTAGAAAACAATGTCATGACTATAATGAATCAACTTCAACAAATGTCACCAGTTTCAGCAGTATTACATGCTAACACTTCTGCCAAGCTGCCATGTTCCATCCATGTTTAAATGAACACGGGAACACGGGGGGAGGGGGTGTGGAGGGTTAGACACCAAATGACGTCTTGTAGCAAACTTTGTGGCAGCACTCCTAAGACTTAAAGCCAATTGGTTCGATACCCTAACACGTACAATGCATTTCACTATCATTATCTCACCTGTAATTCTTCATCTGTTAAATTTTCACCGAGTTCTTTAGCGACTCTCTTGAGATTTTTAAATGAAATTTTCCCCTGTGAGCAGAACATATCATGACATTGTTGTACATTACACAAGTAGTATAACGACAAAAATAAGACATCCGAGTGGGTTTGCGAACATTCAGAAGACTATTCTTCATGGACATACAACAGTGGAGGGTTTCAGAAAGTCAAAATTTTAAAGAGCTTATCCAACAAAACCCGAAAAAGCATGGTATCACTGAATCTAAACTTACAGGTCAATTTAAGGCATTTTCACTACTTGTCCAGTCCTGCAATGACTTCTCTATGACCATGTAAACTATGGTTTCGTTTGCGCCAACACGAACACAACTTGTAACTTTGCACCTGCACCCTCACCTATCTCATAGTCTTGATGATTATTGGGGAGACAGACCTTGCAACCCTTCGCCTCCTTACACTGTTCCTTGCAGGATTGTCCGGGCAAGCCCTGCTGATCTTTCTACATACCCAAACCACTTCAACTTACATTTCTTTACCGTTGTTAAGGTATTATTATGGGACCCAATGGCTTGCCTGATTTTGTACCTGACTGCATCGTTAGTGATGTGGTTTTTGTATGAGATGCCAACAGTTTCCAAAGCATCTCATCTCCGTGGCCTGCAGTTTCTTCTGGATGTCCACGATCAATGACCAGGTTTCGCAGGCGTACAAGAGTGCCGAGACAATCAGGGAGCCCATGAGTCTGATCTTTGAGCTAAGGGAGATATTCTTATCTTTCCAGATCACTCAGATGGTCTTCAGTTTCGATAGAGCTGCCGTCATTTGTGCAATTCTGGACAGTACTTTAGGCTTAGAACCTTGATCTGTGATGACTGTGCCCACACACTTAAAACTGTCCATTTTGTCTAGTTTTTTGCCGTTGACTCTGATGTCAACGCTTACGCCATTTTTTATTCGTCATCAGTTTGGTCTTCTTTCCAGGCGATCCACCAGAGAGGCTAGCCTCTCCTCTTTTCACGCCAAGCCATAAATGTCATCAGCAAAATATAAGTTGGTGATTGTCCTGCCCCCGATACTGACTGTTCCTCCATTGGGTCAGTCATAATTCTCTCAAGAAAAATGTCCAGGAAAGTTGGTGAGAGAAGACAGCCTTGTCTGACTCCGATGGTCGTTCGTCGTAAAGGAAGACTTCACTGATGGCTTTGTTATTGGGCTGCCTGTGGCATAGCCTGATTCTCAGACGTCCGAGGTCGTTCGCGGTCCCTTTCGCTTCCCTCCCTCTCCCGTCTGATATACTCTGTGCGAAGTCGTGTTCGTGACGTCAGAGCCCCTTTTGTATATGAAAAGCCAATCACAACGCGCGTAAGAAATGAAGCATGGAAAAGTAAACAAATCAGTTTTCCGCGGGTTTTTCCTCGATCAGATTTTTGGAAAGCGAAGATTTCTTAGCTATGTTTCTAACTTCTACGCCGAAAAAAGCCGTCTTATCCCAGACGAACTTGATTAAGTGCTTGATCTGCACTGAAGTTCTTGAAACAAGCGACAGAATAGCGGTTTTTGGGCGCTCGCAGTGGGATTTGCGAGGGACTCTTTGCAAGACTTTAGGCGGTGAATTACAGTCTTCGAACGAGGACTTGCAATACGTTTGCAAAAGAAAATGTTACCCAAAGTTGAAAAAGATCGAAAAGATGATGTCGAATCTCAAAAGTCTCGAAGACGAGTTGAGGGCAGAAATGTCTAAAAATACCGTGGTTCGCATAAAGCGGGGATTGAGTCAAGATCAAACTCAGGACTTACCTGTCGCGAGAACGCTGGAAGCAAAGCCAGTGAAGAAAGCTCTATTTGCACCTTCAAATCTACCTCAAAATCAAACGAGATTTCCGTCGCCACTAACGGCGGTTAAAAGTCTAACAGGGCCACCTCCCACAGTTTCGATGGTTGGATATACAGCAGTAAGGCATTCAAGTGTTCCCGTGGTAGTGCGAGCATTTCCAGCTTGTGTAAACATCGGGAGGAATTTCTTCTTACCAGCAAGTCAACTTAGCACATCCCAGCAGCTACTACCGGATAAACGCGGTGCAGCAAATAGGGAAACAGTGCCCAAAACTAACTTAGATAAAGACCCTTGTGTGCAGGTGTGGAAATTTCTCTTTTGGTTGTAGAAATTACAGTAATACTTTAATTTGTATTTTCAGTTTGGCACAGTACTTTCTCGTAATATAAATTTCTAATCTCAAAGTCAAACTTTTGTGACTTGATTATTTATTATTGCTTATTAATGGTAACCAAAGAACCTACTTGATATAGCTTGGATAAACAAGTTTTTATATTGTTGATCATTAAAATGGCTAATTTCTGCCAGCAGTAGGTTCTAACATGCGTGTTTTACTCCATTCGATAATGGTTCATTGCTTGAAAAGGAATTTATAAAATCATGGTTTGAACATTTTTATATTTTGACATAAAGTGGATATGAAATGCTGCTCCTTAAGTATTATATTTTAAGCTAATTGTTTTTTGTCAAGTGTGAGTACATAATGAGTTTGTAAAACACAAAACAGTTTTGTACAGAGTGCTCATGTTCAACAAATACTTTTCATATCAAGGTCACCTTGAACTATCCAGGATGTGCAAGGGAATTCAAGGCAACCTTGGGTGCAGATCTTCAGACCCTTGGAAAAGCCTTAGCAAGACGAGGTACTTATAAACAGATTGCAGATGCTGCATTTCGTTGCTCTTCACTAAAAACCTTCCTAATAAAGAAAACCTTACAAGCCCTGGGCAAAGAATGCAATGACCTATGTTCCAGAAAAAAGCCATCTATGCTACGCAAGAGTGGACCAGATGAAATGGAGAACTTTTCTTTTCAAAAACTCTGTGAAGAATGGAAACAGAGAGCACCCCTTTTTTACTCCTTTCTCACAACATGTGCAACAGTCAAGGAGAAAGGTTGTGACTGGACACCTGCCATGGCAGTAGCTGGGTCCACCCTTTTAAAGAATCGCAATATGCACATGAATGCAACAGCATCACTTATCTCTCTCATGGTCAGGCAAAGTGCAACACAGGTTTGAAATTAATGTAACTTTGGTTTGTTTTTTACATCCAATTCCAGACAATCAGAGGCTATCATGGATGTTATAAGTAAAAAATAATCTTCCTAATAGCCAAAGTAGCTTATCAAGGCTGCATCGCAGTTGTCATGCCATGCAGTGACCTGGAGAATTGCCATAGTTGCCTTATTTCTATGATCTATTATTAACTAACAAACTAGTAGAAAATTATCCTGATACCTCACATGGTTTCATTTATCAGAGCCAAATATATCTGTTATTTACCATTACAGAGTGGTTTAAATGTTGTTCAAACCAATTTGCTTTTGCCTTTTTTGTCTCATTTTGAAATAAAGGAAATGAAATCAAACTGGTTTGAAAAAAAAATACAACCACATGGAAATAGAACAACGTCATAATATGTATATACAGGTTTTAGTTTTAAATATGAATTTTTTTGCATTGTTTACATCCTGTAGAAGTTGGTTCAGCGATTAAACTCAATGAAGCTCTCAGTATCAAGTAAGACCTCTTTGAAAAAACTTGACTCCTATGGCCATAAGTTTGATGAAAAACTTAAAGAACTGCAACACCTTCAAGCTAAAGTGATTTCCAGTCCAGAGGAATTTAAACATGAACACACGGATGGCACTTTCAAAATTGTGCTTGACAATATTGATCTCAGAATCGCAACCCGTGACATGACTTCTGATCGACAAAACAAAGACATTCATTGGGTTAACCATTCTGCTATTAAAAACCGTGTTACACTTGGAAGCAGGAAGAGGGAGCAGCTAGAGTTATCACAGCTAGATAATTGCCAGCTTCTTCCAAGTGCATCTGATCACGAAAAGTTGAGAAGGGATTTTACCTATCTGGTTTCGCGTGTACTTGTTGAGCATCTTCCCTGTTTGGAGTTTCTACAATCTGTTTGTGTAAAGCATATACCGCATCAATTCAGCAAAGAAATGGCAAAGAAAACTGAGAAGGTAATTATCCATAAGCCTTGAGTAATCAATAAAAAAAGATGGAATAATTGCAAGAATTTTTAAAATGTAATCTTATTCTTATTTTTATTTCCACAAGGTTCTTTTGGGTGTTATTTTTAAAAGTGAAAATAAATCAGAGGAAATGCTTGACATCCTAAAACAAATAAGAAGTTACTCCCCAAACTTGGAAAATGCTGACCAAACTTTGCGTAGAAGCATTCCCATTGTTGGGGACCAGCTCACTGTTGAACGTGGTGTGAATGTCATTCAGGCTGTCCAGAATTCTTACACTCCAGAAGAAAAATTAGAGGGCATCCACATGGAAATTGCTGACTGGCATACTGCTGTTACTTTCTTGAACGTAAGGAAATGCAGTATTTCTTAATGCTTAACTTGTACATGTCTTTGAAAATGCTGTCCGCACCTCATTAAGTTTTCACTTCCAGGGGCAGAAAGTTCAAACCATCTTCAGAAGATTTCATACCATTATGGTCAATAATACAAAAAAAAAAATCTGTACTCAACGTTTTTATCGCCTAATCTTTTTCAGAAGTAGATGGAAACATGAAATGTGAGGATGCAGTAAAGTTTTACACGTAGATACAACCAAGTCCTGGAGTTTGTCTATCTACTGTCAAATCTCATAAAAATTAGCCTGATTCTTAGACATCCAACGTCAATTGCAGCCCCTTTCTTTCTCTCCCTCTACGCAGTGATCAACCTCAGGTGTCTGAGAATCAGTCTACAAAAAAAGAGCCTACAATCTTGCCAATATTACAGTCTACTAACAATAATACTAATACCAACAATAACATTATCAATAGGAATACTTATTATAGCAATGATAATAATAATATTGATACTAACACTGCAACTACTACTACTACCAATAATAATAATACACTCATACATGCATACAACATGAGAGGTAATGACAATGAAAGGACAACTTGATCAAATTAAAATTAATGGATTATCAGAGTTATGTACATTGTATGTGTTGTAGTTAATTTTTTATCTCAGGTAGATTTGATTTTTCTTTTGTTTCAATTCCATTAGCATACATTACCATACCCAAAAACAAAAGAAAAAGAAAAATTACCTGAGATAAAAAATTAACTACAACATATGCAATGCAACCAAAATTTAATTTTCTTTGTTCTAGGTATTTTTTAAGAGGCACTATTCAACCATTTCTGACACAGACAAAGGGACTCTTTTTGCTGATCGCAATTTGATTAACCGACGGAATGTGACAGCTGATGTGCACAGCAACTGGGTGCACTGCAAAGCATTTGCCATCCTTGAAATAAAAGCACGTATCATTGCGGCAGCAATGTTGGTGCTCGGCATGAAAAAGATCAGTGATCAGCCGACACACAATCTATCACCTGTTGCTGCAAGAAGTGGTAATGACCAGGAGAAAAAACATTACTTAATGAAACTGTCTGGCCAAATTGTAGATCAATTTGTTATAGATCAGCACTCCCTAAATAGCTTCTTAGATGGAATACTTTCTGAACAGGAAAAGAATGATGCTGTTAATAATCAAGAGCTGACTACTGATGGAAGATTCCCCTGCCGAAGCCCAGGATGTAATAACTCATTTAAATATGATGGCAAAAGGAGGAGAGACCATGAACTTACCCATGATCCTCCCCCTGTAATCCCTGAAAAGCCTGTGCTATCCTCTAATTATCCCAAGAAAGGTTCATTGAGTGATTTAGATGATGATGATGATGTTTTTAATTATAACTGCTCACTGTTAGCTCAAGGACTCTTGTTTTTGAACTTTCTTGATTCAACATCAGAGGGAGATGGTGACAGATCAATTAGATGCTGGAAGTTCTTTCTGCTGCATTTCAAAGAAGACAAATCTACTACAAAGTATGCACTAGAAGCTCTTTACCTGCTTTTGCAGGTATATTCTCTCCTTCCCCCAGCTGAGGCCCACAGCTTGGTATGGAATCGTACAGTTAACAACAAAGGGGGGCCAGGGAAAAATGTTGCTATTGATCTTGACTTGGAACATGACAATAATGATCTAAAACAACCTATCAAAAATCTTGGGCCAAATGTTACAGAGGATGCAGTAAGGAGAATTTCAAATGGACAGCAAAAGTCCAAACAAATGCTTTCTTGCATGGACAGAGAAATTCTTGTCAAGCAAAGGTCAGGCAAGCATGTTTCAGCTGACTACTCAAAAGATCTAAGAGCTGTTGTGAATTCACTTATTGAAGAGTCTGTGTTTTGCCGCACTCCAGGAAGACATTACAAGCACTTTTCAAACTTTGTCAGAGACCCATTGTCAAGGCTGGACATGTCCAATTTATATCAGTGGATTAATAAGCACAAGAAAAACATTGACCTTGCAAGAAAAGCAAGATAGACTTGACTTGTAGCATAAATTTATTGGCGCATAATGAACATTGTTTTCTAAAATTTTAAACTACAATTAATTTGTGATAGATTAACTCCTCATCTCATTTCATCCTTCTTCTACTTTCTACATTATATGGTATAAAGAGTACCAAACAGTAAAAACCTGCAACTGAGAAACTGGTTTTTAAGCACCTGTTAGGCTAAAATTTGCCAGTTACATGTAGGCCCCCTCTCTACAAAGATCTGTTTGCATTGTTCAATGAAAGAAGAATTAATACTTTTAGCTAACAATGTATTTTTTCCTTCAGAAAATAAGAACCTTAATACCCTAAATTTGTGCTAAATTACCATTTATGTAAGAACCTGTTTAGGCTACAGTGTAACTAGGGAAATGCAGGTTCTGTAAGTTAAAGGGTTTTACTGTATCAAATTAAAGTCAAATAGGTATGATAAAACACCACGAGTACAAATGTACTTATTACTTTATAATTTACATAACCCAATGAACAAACAAAGGTAAATTTTCATCTAAAGAGATAAACAGCCTAAGAAGAGAGATGTCTAAGTTTGTGACAATAGTTGGCAAAATAGAACACCACATATCAAGAACAAGCTTAACTTACTAGAAATGTTAATTCACTCTATTTGAACTTTGTCAATCAGATCATCCAGTTCGGGAATATGCATATCACTGCTTTCAAAATCTTGACTTTCCTCTACAAAGGTGGAATCATCATATAATATGTTACTAGCAGAGAAGTTGTCCCAGTCCACATCCATTAACTCCACATCATCGAACAATGCATCCCAGTCATCATCTTCTTCATCATCTCCATCAAAGTAATTTTGACAGTCATATGCTTGCCCTGCATCGTGACTTAAATCTTGGAAGACCTCTGCCAAAGTGTCCATAATTGCATATGCATGCCTTTCTTTCCAGATTTCAACATTTGCCTTGATGTCAGAAATGCTGAATATCTTGTCACAGTTTTCCAAAACTTGAGCAATCTGAGAGTCTGAGAACCCAATTAACAGTTCAGGAACAGATGCAACTGGTAATCCTCCTTTCGGAGATTGATGTAATAGCTCCACCAAAAGTGATTTCCTTAATCTTATGAGCTTTCCTTTCAAAGTGGCTTTCTGTGAAGTGGAAACTGTACGTGTCTTTCCAGCATAAGGGGCAGGTGCTGAAATAGGAACTTTCAAATTTTCATCCTTAGAACAAAGGTCACAACAAACAAAATCACTTTGAGTGTCACTTTGAGGCTTTCCACCCTTTTGATCAAAATGGCCCATTAGAAATGCACGTCTGCAGGTATATTTGCCTTTAACATAGTCTTTCATGTCTTTTTCAACATGAAGAAGCATCAGTGGCTGGTATAGCAGAAGGGCTTTACTCGGGCTTCCATCCCTACCTGCCCTTCCACTCTCCTGAATGTAGGCCTCCACAGACTTTGACGGCCCCAAGTGGATAATTCTTTGGACCCCTTTACAGTTAACTCCCATGCCGAAGGCTATTGTACAGATGAGTACTCGAATGCAGCCAGTTTCCTGTCCCATTTCTTCTAAAACAACCTCTTTGATTGACTTTGAAGAAAGGGCATGCAGCATTTCAACTACACGATTTCTGGGATCTTTGTTGTCATTGGCAAATATTGAGTCACCCATTTCTTGTGCAAAGAGGGAATACAATGTTGAACACTGCTTAATGGTTTGGCAATATATAATTGTTCTTTCTGTTCCGCCCCTCTTCTCTTTCAGTTCATTCATTATCCACTGGAAATATTGAATGAGTGGATTACGCTTATCCATGGTCTGGACACTGTAACAAATATTTGCCTTGTTTGGGCTTTCAGACACTTCAACAAATTTTCCAAATCGAAGGACAGAAGTTATTGTTTCCTTTGTCTGTCTTGTTGCTGTGGCAGTTACAGCCATGAACGGAATTTTATTTGGTACCAAAGAACGCAACAGGCTTAATTTGTAGAACCATCTTCTAAAGGCCATTGCCTCTTTACTCTTGGAAGTTCCCCTGTAAAAGTAAAAAAAAAAAAAATAATGATAGTGCCCTCTTTCTTTGCATGTATGTTTCTGTTGAAGATTGTGAAGAACTTTGCTCTCAGATAAGCTCACTACTGTTCTATCGTTGCTACAATTATTTTTTCCCTCGCTTAAGGTTATTATAAATGATAGACCTAAAGTTGTTCGGGTGTCAAATTAAAAAAGCAAAAATATTGCTTACCAATGGCTAATACAATGTGCTTCGTCCACAACGATGCCAATTAAATTCTTCTGGTAAACGTCGGAAGATAACATGCTTCGCCACCTACCATTTCCTAATAAGGATTCCGGCGAAGAAAATACCACGCAGCACTCTCCTTTCTCAATCCTCATGTCAAGTACCTTATCCTCTCCTATCGAGCAAGCTGAGATGCCACATTTCCGTAAGTAACTTGTTTGATCTTCCATGAGGCTCACTAAAGGGGATATTATAATTATTACTGGGTTCGCTGCAAATCCATCGCGGCCTCGTGATAACTCGGCGTGAACTAAAGGAGCCATCTGGAACACAAGAGACTTTCCAAACCCCGTTGGCAAGTTTAGAAGGACGTCAGTACCATAAACAAACGTTTTAAGCGCTTTGAACTGTTCGGGGAACAGTGTTTCCACGCCAAAAACTTGGCAAGCGTTTTGCACGGCTGAATCGAAACCTTCCACATCTTCCGCCATTTTGATTTGACTCGATGTGTGGGAAATTACATTCCATACATTCCACACTTCTCGAAATATGGTACACGCGCTCTGATTGGTGAAAATTGACAATGACTCTGACGTCACGAACACGACTTCGCACAGAGTATATCAGACGGGAGAGGGAGGGAAGCGAAAGCGACCGCGAACGACCTCGGACGTCTGAGAATCAGGCTACCTGTGGCACAGCCCGATTAGAAAATGAGCTTTCTCGTGAAAAAAGACAAAAATTAATGGCGGATTGACCAACCAGAAGGCATTGCTACTCCCTACAATACAGCGGCCGCTCGTTTGACTTTCATCGGGAGAGGATGGGTCATTTCCAAAGGGAAAAAATTCTGAAAAAAAATTCGCCAGACATCCACGAAAATTCTTTTGGCTTTTGCTCCCTCATCATCCCTGTGAATTTCACTCGGGATTACCCATGTCTTTTTTCTTCAGTTTTCTTCTTTCGTTGTACCTTTTGCCCCTTCTGTTATCCCATATCTTTTCTTCTTCAGTTGTCTTCGTTCGTTGTACCTTTTGCACGTTCTGCTATCCCATGCCTTTTTCTCTTCAGTTCTCTTTGTTCGTCAAATACGCTCAACATGTCAGCTGTGATTCAAGATTTTTTAACTGCTCTGCGTTTGCCAAGGATCTCGCTGGCTGTTTCAGTCACTGCTGAGATGAAAGTGTTAATTGGTGTATCCACTTCTACGTTATCTACATCGAGCGTGGTGGGCGATGCTAATCTTCCTCCAATCATTACTTGGAAGGCTACTACATCCTCCAGGTCTTTAAGCACACATTTTTATCTTCTTTAGGTGGAGTCGAAAGGTCATCATCACTAAATCATGGTCGCTTCTTAACTTAGGAGGAGAAAAATTAATGAAGAGTCCAGGTGGCTAAGTATTACTTACAGTATGATTATTTAGTGTAACAAAATTGTGGTGGAGAAAGTGCCTACCGTGTTATCATCATCAAATAACTTGAAAGCTTTTAGAATTTCCTCTTTAGAATCCTTTTCACTCTAAAGGAATGAATAAAACCTAACAATGTAATTTCAGTTATTCTACTAAAATATAAACTAACCGCTTTTATAAACTATGCAAATCCCTAATATCAAATTTTTACAATGTAAACCACAGGTAGCCCAAGCTCGAAATATGAGCATCGGCGAGCATCGGCATTGTTGCGTAACATTCCAAAACTATAAGGATTTGTATGGGAAAAAAACCTATCGTTTCTGTAACCTACGAAAATCAAAGGATTTCAATAAAAAACAGCTCACCTTACTTCAAATGTCACAATGCAGAGAGGACACACCAGGTGCCCGGCTAAATACCGGCAAAATACCCAAAAATACATTTGCCAAAAGAGAGACAAAAATAACTTTAGGAAAGTAAAAGCATCCAATGCCTTTGCTATCCAAAAAACCCCATACAAATCCTTATATTTTGAATGTTACGCAACAATGCCGATGCTCGCCAATGCTCATATTTCGAGCTTGGGCTACCTGTGTGTAAACTATTAAAAGGAAACTCACATCCAAGTACTGTATATCACATTACACGTATGTCACACTCACCATTTTTGCTGTCATCATTTGAAGAAATTCATTGAAGTCAATGGTACCTAAGAAACAAGAAAGAGATACAGTTAAATACAAGACACAGTTTTGTAAAAGTATTTACCAGTCCTGATAAATTTCATATGATCTACAACATGCACACAAAATATTTAAGTCTTCATACCGACATGCAAACAGCCATAGCAAACAATGTACAGTTTAATTGCATAATGAAGAATACAGAACAAAAGATATTTTTGTTTATTATTTGTTCAAAAATTGCTTATGGGCTTTTTCTCTCTTGACTTACTGTACATGTATGATAGGTTTGATTACAGATGTATTCTTCAAAATTATCTCCAGAACGATCGATCGATCTGTGCGTCCTACAGGATGCATTCTGTTGATTACTTTCACTGTGTCTTTTGGGATTTTATCCTCTAGGATGCTGGATGCAGAGGTAACAAAATCACCCAAGTAAAAACCCCTGTAGTTTATACAACTTAATAATAATAATAATTATACTCTGGCTTTTGGCCTGAAGAGCATTCTTTCTTTTCATTGGCCTCCATCAAGGAGCACTGTCGGTATAATTTATTTATAAGCTGTAATAATTTTTATACATACTGCATTATGACATACCTGAACCATCTTTGTCGATATCTGAAATCATTTTCTTGATTTCTTCTTTCTTGGGCTCAAAACCCAAAGCTCGCATAGCCACCTGAAAATAAAATCATGTTTGTGGTATCTTTAGTCTTCATGACTGCTTACTTCAATGTACTCTACATTGTAATAAAGTATGCTACACGTGAGAGGAATGAACTGTTTCTACAACATTCCAGTTACCATCTCTCTAAAATGTCCTTCAGTTCAGGCGTCTACATGTATTATTACGTTATTAAACGTAACGTTATTTATATAATAGATAAACTGCAAGTACCAGTAAAAGAAAGGAACAATTATTTTTAGACTGCTAGTAGTCCCTCAAACAACTGACGGAATTATGTGGCAAAGGACACAGCAAGCGAAGGAGGGGCTGCATTTTCTGTTGTAACTCAGATGTGTGCACATGCTTGAAACCTTGCCAACCAAATATGGGAACCACTCAACACAGTTAAAACAAATACATTGTAGCTCTGCATTTGTTTCCCCCTATATTTTGTAACTTCTCTGTAGTGTCACTCATGCAAATATGCTCACAATATAGTACAAAAGTACATTATATATTTGCATACTCAAAAAATTACATGTTACTGGTAACTAGTTGTGTTTACCTTGAGTTCTTTTGCGTCGATTGTACCTGAACCATCAGTATCAAACAGGTCAAATGCCTCTCTGATTTCTTGCTTCTGTTCCTCTGTTAGCTCTGGTTTTGGACCTGATTTGAAGCAAATAATAATCAATGGATCATTTTCACTGTCACACAACATAAAAATAAATTGGAAACCGTCCAGTGGAAGAGGCCAAGAAAACGAAATGTTATAAAAGACTAATATATAAACATTTTGTCCAAGTCTCAGGTCTTTGTGGCCCACAGTTTCTGAGTTATTTGCCGAAACGTTTCACACTCCTTTGTAGAGCTTTGTATGGAGACACCATATTGGTACACCAATATGGCTGCCGGAAATCAACAAAAACATCTGGAGTTCACTTTTTCTATAATAGTTCTTTCTTTTCACTCGAGAACTAGCATACATGCACATAAACATATCTTCTTACACTTGAAATGGTTATACTGCTGAAAATCAAGAGGAGAGACTTCATTTCAACGAGCCAGCATTCCAATCTTGGTGTCACACACTGTGAAAACTCAGAAGTTCAAATTGCAGTATTTTCGAAATGAAACACGCTACGGGACAAGATTTATTTTTTTATCTTCAACCTAGTGTAAATAAGAATCCGTAAAACATTACTACTTTGACTTTACAATTTGATGACGTCACTGTGAAAACCATATATAAAGATAAATGCAGACAATAGGCCCCTTACAGCACTGTTCAAAACTTAGGGTTTTATGTTACGTTTACAGACTGTTACAGGTCATTCTCACCTTAATTTTTAAAACTTATTACTTGTGAAAATATAGGCAACAGTAAATATACGTAACCAAGAATCCATGAGACCCAAGACACAAAAACCAATAAATGCAAGGTTGTTTGAGTTGAAAGTCCAACCTTTAAGTGTCCAAATTTTAAGGTGTTCCCAAATTAACTTTTTTTGCAAAATTAAATGAATTACCCCACAGAAAGGGAAAAGCCTGAAGCAGACGTTTTTATCGGTCAAACTGCCTTTTTAACTACATATAGTAAGCTGTAGAGAGCTGGCCTTGGTTGTTTAAACGCTGGATAGCACTATTCACCGGATAAGTATTACGGATACCAGATGCGTTATCTACTGGATAGACTCTTAGCCCATGGATAGTGCTATCTAATGTTTGAACAACCAGGGCCTGAATATTAAAAAAACCTTTCTGTTTCCTTTGTCCTGTTGAGAGTGCTCCTTTTCTGTATGACGATGCCTTAAAAAAGAAAATGATAACAGTTAAAGCCCTTGAGGCTTTCTATAATGTGCATCTCTCAAGATCAATAATTATTTTTTGAGCATTTATCAGTTGTCTATAAGAACTTGCCCAAGAGAGTGGGTATTTAATACAAGCCAAGGTGCTCCCTCTGCAAAAGGTAACAATTATTAAGATTCTTCACAAAAATTTAAGGACTTAAGACATTGACATAGCCTTTTAGATGTTGAGAAGGATCAACTTTACTGTAAAAACAAAATGTAAATGATGGTCATGACAGCCTCTTTTAATTACGTAATATTATGTATAAATAACTAACTAGAGATAACATTTAAATGAACACTGACAACATCTATAAGCTTGTCAAAACATACCATGGAGAAAAAACACAAACCACCAACAAAATTAATACAATTTGTGGTGGTGTTTAATTTTTAACTCTTTTTGTTTATGCCCTAGCGGAACCAGTGGTCCCTGGTGCCTTATGTTTGTTCCTGGGGGACTGGAACATCTTATTTTTTCATACAAATCATATGCAGGGTACCCTGGATTTCACAGGTTTAGAGCACTGTGCTCCTTTCAATTCTTGTTAGAACAAGGCCCGTATCATGCTGTGTGACACTTAATATTGTTGGGAGTTCTTTAATTTGGTGCTTTTCCAACAATTGGAATAGACTAATTACAGCTGTATTTTTTCTGGCTCACAACTCAAATTAACACTCACAAAAAGCACATCAGTGTTTTTTCAGAAGCTTTGGAAAAAAAATTTAGCGATCATTTGCCAGTTAGCATTTCTCCAGTAAAAAATTGCTAAAGAAGATTAAGTTTTGTGGCAAAAAACAAAAGCTACAAGTGCATGCCAAATCAAATACTGTAGTACAAGATTCATGTCAACCACTGGTTTAATGCAGCACCTAAGCACATTTTAATTGCACTTTTGAACTGTGCAGGTTAATCACAGAGAATGACTTCATGTTTTCACGCAGCTTCTCGCGCAGCTTCTTCATATGCCTTGAAATAAGGAGTATGCCAGTATTTTGACTTGCTCTCGACCTTGAAAACTAAAAATAGCCATGAATTTACTATTTTTGATGAAGAAAAGATTCTTACATACAAATCCACAACTTTTCGAATCTGCTCTCCAGAGTGGACATTTTTGAATACCCTATGAATCCAGGATCATGTGGATGCAAAATAAGGATATTTCTTCACCCAGTAACGTAACAAGATCAAGCCCAGTTCTTCTTTACCATGGATGGCAACCTTGTTCCCAGGTTCTCTCAAGGCAGAGCAAGATGTAAATTTTACGCACCTTACAACAATATTCTCAAAGGAATCCTGGTTACTAGAGTGAATCTGGATACATGTTGGATACGTGTAGACAGGCAAATTTGATTCGAATACGGAAAAATGAGGGTGCCAATAAGGTTAACTGCTTAACGAATAATTGCCTTTTTTCACTATCGTAAAGGTATAAATTACAAAATATTAACTGACAAGTGTATAAAAACAGGTAATCTTTTAAGCGTATACAGAGCGAAGTAGACCAAAAAGTTAGAAATTGATTAAAAAAAATGAACACTCCTCAAATAAAAAGACGATATGGTGAGATACATGTAGGATGATAGAGATGTACTTGTTAATCTTCCTCACACGTAAGTCTTTCTGCTGACGTATATGCAAAACACCACCCTCCAAACGATTTTAACGTCTGCAGGACACATAACCATGCCAATTAACTAACTAAACTTTTTTTTGGTGTTTACTGACTAACTACCATATTTTTAGCTGTTTACTGACTACAGCTATACCCCACTGACACCCTCATAAATGTGGACATGGAAATTTTTGAGTCCAGAAAGAAAAAAACTGTGGATTAAAAAATATCTGGATCTACGTGTGGACAGGGCCAAAAACATTGTTTCTACTAGGGCGGGATAAGCTGTAACCCAAAAAACTATAACCCCACTAATTGCCATTATTATACATTGTACACACTATTCACCATGGCTAATATCCTACAGTTAATTTTGGAAATTAGCACAACCTGCAGATTAGTTATCTGTAGGTTGAGCGTGCAATGCATTATTTCTAAGAGCAATGTCAAATCGGTTCCATGCAATGGTGTATTTGTTGTTATTTATTTCAGAATTATGTATAGAACAATAATTAGATTCAGTTTTTGTGATACCTAGAATAATCGAGGTCTTGATAAGTGTTATCTGCCTTGGCTTCGGCTTAGTTGATATCACTTACCTCGGCCTTGATTATTCCCAATATCACAAAATCCTCATCCAATAATTGGATATAATTTAATGATAACAGAGAATCTTGCATGTATTCACATGCAGCTCCATTTTGCCTCCAATCATCACCCAGAGTATTTATTGAGCTAAACAAGAGTAAAAATTCAATCGAAATGCAATTTTCAAATAGCTAATAGCCACGGTTAACATTATTTCCAGAACAAAGGCAAAATTAGGATTCTTAAGAATAAAAGTAGCAAACATATATAGATGTTTACGCTTGCAAAAACGCGGGCAACATTCTCATTAATGTTCAACAACATACAAAACATTTTACTTGCACTCTGTTTTTAAGAAAGAACGCTATAGCATAGCTTTTTTTCCCGCCGCAAATTCAGTGATAACAATAGCGACGCTTCACTTCTATGCAGCAACACAAGAATTCCACCAACAAAGCAGCTTTAAAAGTACGCAAGAAAATTAATGTCTTTTAAACATCGGCTGAACCATGATTCGAATCATCTTCAATGCGTCTGTTGTAACTAGGGATCACATCTGTACAAGCAGATTACTAGTTCAATTTTTATAATTCCCGGTGTTTACTTGTGCTAACGATCACATTAGACTCATGCCATCAACATCAAACCAGCTTTTGTTTGCAAGTTTGGACAAAAATCCCTCTACAACCTAGTCGAGATTTGAGCCCAACAGATAGGTAAGACACTTACCATTTCTTAGGTGCTATAGATACCGCAGAGAGATTCTGATACTTCTGGAGATAGCAATGGAAAATCGGTTTCACAACAAAGTTCTGTTTGTTTTACGCGGTGAACAAGTCCAGGGAGGATCCTATTGCATTATGGGTTTTCCCGCCTTGCGCGCGAGGACTAAGCATGAACTGGTGGCCAGCGCGTTCCTGTTTTTCACCGACCTCCTCCATGGTCCAGTCCTCAAAAATCTCGGAATGAATAAATCGCAACACCTTCCGGGTTTATTCGACTCATTTTCTTTTTGACTTCCCAGCAAATTCAGGAGCAAATTAGGTTCTACGTTGTGGGTGTATTATCGAGGAAGCTGTTTTAACTGAAACAGTCTCAAAATATACTAATCTAGCTAGTGCCGATTGGCTGTTGATTATGATTTCATTTTACAATATGGAAATGTACGAATGAAACGGACGACAATAATAAATAAATAAATAATAAATCTTTGTTTAAGCATCAGAACAATAAGTAATATTTACAATTTTATCATCGTATCCGGTTTACAAATTGAAAACTAAATAATTGCCTTAAAAGCAACTATAATTAACCGAAAGCCAGGGCCTCTTTGAGAATTCTTTGGATTCTTTTTGCTTATTGGTTGGCATCGGTATATTGTTTTTAAGGCCGAAGGGAAATGGATAAAAAACACCTAGGCCGAAATCTGTGAAGAATAAATGTACTAAAGAAATCCTTTCTGCCTTTTTTGTCACCCAGAGATCTGAATTACCGAGGGCGTGTCCTTCCGTCCAACGCGCGGAGGCCTTATGGAAATCCCATTTTGACAAGCGAAGAGAAGGGCAAATAAGTATATATAATATTATAGAACGTTAAGTTGTTTTTACAACTTAAGACAAAAAACGTGGGTGCTCTGGAACAAAAACTAAATAGAATAGTTGGCGGAATAAGTTAAAAAGTCTCTTTTATTACAGTTTTATCTGGGCTGTTACTAAAAAATACCGTGACTAATGGTCAAAAATTAACCGTTTAGGCAACTAAAAAGAATATGAATATAATTCTCATTTTTTATTGACTGTTCCAAATTGAATTTTTGAAGTCAATGCATTGCTTTTCCTTTTCATGATATCATCACTGACTACTGTGTTTGCTGATGTCCTACTGATTGCGGTACTAGTGACGCTCGTTTCGTAAGGGTGGATGATGATATGCAAAATTAAAAAACTGTTTGAAAAAGCGAAAAAGCCGAAAAAAATGATGCATAGTGTGAAAAGTCAGGAAAATATGTATTCCAGTCCATAACCGTGACGCAGGCTACATTCTTTGCTGATGCGAAACTTCAAATCTTTAGCCCCATCGTCTATTTTTTAAACACACCTTACATACATACATACATACATACATACGTTTATTGACCACTTCCCCAAAGGGGCTTTTCAGTGCCAATTACAAAGAAAAGGATAAAAATAAAAACATATACAAATTATTTAAAGTTACAATTGCAAATCATTAGGATATCATTCCTCCCTCTTAAATTTGTCTAAAANAAAAAATGATGCATAGTGTGAAAAGTCAGGAAAATATGTATTCCAGTCCATAACCGTGACGCAGGCTACATTCTTTGCTGATGCGAAACTTCAAATCTTTAGCCCCATCGTCTATTTTTTAAACACACCTTCGGAGTGTTATCAGAAAGTCACTGTCCACGCGTGTTATGGGCTGCTGCTGTTCACTGAACTGAAATATTCGTATGCTGAGTAGTGTAGTTACACGGTAAAAACAAACCGAGGTAACTGGACTGAATAAATTCCCCACAGCAAAAAGGCGCAGGGAGAAATAGTAGCTGACATAATCAACGGCACGGCAAAAGGTTGTTGTCCCTAAAAATTCCCCTCCCCCTCCCACCCCTACTAAAAAAAAAAATAGTCCTAAGAGTAAACTCGTGAACTGACTCGTTTTTCCTTGAATGGTTTTTAATTGACCGCCTTTGTCATTTAAGTGTAGGGCATTCATTCTCTTAAAAATCCCTGTCCAGCCGAGCTAACGGAGTATGCCCTACGTTTCCGGTTCGAAAAAATAGTGTTATTAGTTATTCAGACTGGTAGGCAGCCAAAATGGCTAAATGGCTAAATGGCATAGTCGACTGACTATGCACCTACAGTAGTTCCCCATCCGACAAGTTTTTAACAGAAATACCTCCCTAAATGGACTAAGAGACTTGACCTCGAAAAAAAAAAACAACTAAAACGAAACGTGCACACAGTCAGTTATGGTGGTGATCTTTGTAAACTTTTGAGCATTCGAAGCCTCTAGCCAGCTTACCGGTGTGTTTTTATTGGCGCTGCCAGTGACACCAGAGAGGCTGATTATGCAGATTCAACTCATCTGTTATCTTTAAGACGTATTGAGACTCTGAGTGCAGAGCCATTGAAACTCGAGAAGAAGGAGCGGTAAAAAATTGCTAGGAACACAGCAACTCCTTCGGGCAAACGTCTCCTAAAAAAATTTTCCCGCTCTATTCTCTGTCATCTCCACGTCGAACTACTCCGGATAAACTACCGTTTAACCGCTTAAGGCTGAATTTTTGCTATAACCCATGCCAAACTTCAAGTGATCATGATCTCCTGATATTTGTAGCCTGAGGCAAACTGAGTTCGCTCCCGGTCTCTATCTTTTTCCCTCCTCCGTAACATGCCCCCACTCCAGAGGATCCTGACTTGCTCGCAGGCTCAGAGTACTGTAGGGTAATTATATTCAGCTCCACTTCAGCAGCGTATCTAGACTGCGAGCAGTCCCTCTTCAGTCAGTCAAGTCTGAGCTCGGCAGGACTGGAGAGAGCGAATTGGCCGAGAGGGAAACTCCCGCCTCTCTCCAGTTTCCCTCTCGGCCAATTCGCTCTCTCCAGTCCTGCCGAGCTTAGACTTGACTGACTGAAGAGGGACTGCTCGCAGTCTACAGCGTATCATGGTTGAGTAAGTACAGTATACAGGTAAAGATCAGTACGACTGTAAAGAATATAATTACAATGCAGCAGACTGATACTGTACATAACGATTAGAAAGAATCCCGCAATCCGACAAGTGATTAAGTCACTTCCGGATTGTAGCTTTTGACATTGCCCTTGGTTAAGTTTGCGGCCGGAAAATCAAAACTTTATTTACTGCGAGATTAGTGGAAGAATAGACAGCCAACAGTGGTTTATTTTTGGCTTTGGATCAAACACTGACGGGGTAGCTTTTTCACTTTGTCATCTTGAGCGGACAGATCGCTAAAACATTTGATTTTATCTTCAAATGTGATCTTTTTCGTGATCGAATTTAAATGCTACCTGATAAAGTGACATGTAAATTACGAGAACGCAAATAGATACAAGAAATAATTATCGGAAGTTCGAGAGGGCTTGCTCAAACAAATCTCGAGAACACTGCGAAACAGGTGACCCCCGACGAAAGAACCAGGAAAAAGAACACTTGCTGATTCATTCAGCGTTTGTTTCAAACGGATACACGATCAGTTTATTGTTGTTGTTCTTATAAGAGCATCAATAAAAATCTAAGTACTTTTAAAGGAAATCGGGCCACAGTTCTAAGGCTGAGTGGCACAAAAGTGCATTTTATAAGGTGCTGAAAACACTTAGGATTTTTCTTGGACCTTCAGATATATGGACTATTATAGTCTGTGAACCCCGAGAGAACTTGCTATAACAAGCGAGGACTAACACATGCCTCGTATAGAGTAGAATTTACAACGTAATTTTAGACTCGACAGGAAAAAAAACCTCCCTGGCAGTCTCTAAGTTAAAGTCACGTGCAGGAGTCTAGATGGAAGTCCTAGTAATGGGCTTTGTCTGGACCTTGGCTTACACGGCTAAGTGCCATCAAGATGACATAAAAACCCGTTTCATTTAAACAAGGTAAATCGCATATCATCATGGCCGAGACTAACTTGCTCAAGACGGCATTCAACTCATTTTAACTCAACTCCGCTCCCCCTCCCTCCATCCACAGTGTGTTTGCTGTTGCGCATTTCCGCTGCTTTCCAGTGCGAATAAACAAAATGGAGTAAATTATTAAAGTGTCCAAGTCAGTGATTGTATTATGAGCGCTGGTGAGACAGCGACTAATTTACTCGGGAAATTGCATGAAATTGGATTTTAATCTTTGGTATTTGAGTCCACAAGCTCCTTTTTTTGTCTGTTCGAGTGCAAATATTTGCCTTTGCCTGCCCACCGAAAATGATACTGACGCGGTTTCCTTTGTGAGCCGGTATTAATATTCAGAGAGAGTTAAATGTCATATTTATTATGATCTAGTTGGTGAAAAAGCTCGATTATCAAACGGCTCTTGAGTAAAAAAATGTAAAATTAAAAAAATGATATAATTCGAGTTTAGTCCAAGTCATTGTCACGTCAGGAGCAATGTGCTAATTGACTTAATTTGCGCCAGCAAAGAGATTTTTTACAATAACTGTTGTGACAGGATGTGGTGATAGATCGCTTGCGACGCATTTCAACAGAAATCTGTCAACACTCATGATATATTGGGAACCCACATCTCCTTGGGGGTGATTCCCTAGTCTGCAGGCAATAGTTTCTAATCTGTATGGATTGATCATTAGCAGCGTTGTCAAAAAAAGCTAAGAGAGGAATTGGTTCCTTTAAATGTTCTCCTGGATCGCTCAGCTTTCGCTCGGCGTTGCTTGAGGTAAGTGTGTGTGAAAGTATTGTTTGTTTAAAAGAAACTCTGACAGGGCAAAGCTCGCGGACGAATGCCGATGTGAAGAGTAAAGTCATGAACAAAAGCATACGTACGCCAAGTCGTTTATGGTCCATCGCTCGGCTACAATTGAAAAAATCCCTGTTGTTTTCAACAATAATCTTTGCCACAGATTTGCTCCGTTCCTGTTCAATTGAAAGGTTCTTTCTATTGAGACATCCATTGTTCTTAAAAAAGAGCATAACATAAAGTGCATCTTAATTTTAACAATAAACGGGAAGCCAGCACATGTCCGGTCAATACCACGCTGTATTTCATTTTCCCTAGGGCCATTTAAAATTCCCATTATTGTTCATTTGAACAATAAGCTGTAGACT